TTTTATTAAATAATAATAAAAACAAAAAATGCATTGTTCTTATTACATTAAATTTTTAATATGATTACATATATATCGGTGTTTACTTTATTAAAAATATGTATTAGCAAAATAAAATAGCATAAATTGTAGCAGAGAGAACAAAAACAAATAATCTTATATAAATTTAAAATTAAATAAAAAATTAAAATACAAAAAAAACTCTACTTGACAAATAGAACCACGTTTTTTTTTAAATAACCACGAACATATGTCATTGAAACAAAAACAAAAACAAAAGCAAAAATAAATTCAAATAAATTCGAATAAATTACATTTATTAGAAAAATCATGAAATTTACATTTATTATATTCATTGACTAAATAAAAATATTATATCAAGTCAAACTATTAAAAAAAAATTAATAAAACTCTTAAAAAAAATATACTATATGCATTTTTATTTATTATTAATTCAATATATTTTTCTATGTTTGTTTTTCTATGTTTGTCTTCACTAAGTATCAGCAGAAATGGATTATTATTATTATCCGTTAAAATAAGGGATTGTGCGCTGCGACCTAAAAGATCTATTGTGCCCCTTACTCGGGGTAGAGTGTTTCTACAAGTCCGATTTCTTTAATGAAAGACAGTATAGAGCCTACCTTTCCTAGTCTTGAATATTTATGATCCATGAAATACCCTCCTAGGTGTTTCTTTCGCTTCTGCATCAGTGCCGGGCACTCGCCAAGCACATGGTAAGCAGTTTCTCTCACTTCTCTATAGTATCTGCAGTCTGAGTTGGATTAAATTCCTAACTTCGTTAGATGATTGTTCAATCTACAGTGACCGGTCAATAGGCCCGTAATAATTCTTAGGTTGTTTTCTGATTGTGCTATGCAATCTTTGAAGCGTTTTAGGTTGTAAGTCCCTAACAGCATTTTAGATTGTTAGAGTTCTGGTTCATAAGAATAGATAGAGTTCCTTTGTCTAGACCACAGAATGGTTCTGGGCCTATCATTCTTGAGACTGCACCACTTGCCTTGGATATCAAAAAGTCCCGGAATCCATAATAGGTGCACCTGATTGTTCCAGCCAAGTATGTTCAGCTTGTCAATGCACTCCCATACCAGTTTAAATGTTACCTGGTAACAGAAATGGATGAGTAAGAATCTAAATTTTGCCAAGTAACCGGATTTAAATAGAGATCCATCACCTTAATATACCAATAAATAACAACTCTTAATAATAATAATAAATGACCAACTCTTTATAATAATTAAATATAAACTCATTTTAATATAAATTTCTATTAAGAATATGCAAGCTAATAATATTGAAAAAAAAATTTTATAATAGTGATAACACGTATAGCACCAAAATATAGGCAATGACTGATATAATAGAGATATCTTGAGGAAAAAAAATGAACTCGACTACATAATAGAAAGAAATGTTAAGTTTTTAAACTAACCCAAAACCAAAGATCTTCTAAAATTCTTCAAAATTGAGATGTTAAGATGGATTGGTCATCTCTTAGGTATTAAGAAAACCGGGAACAGAATTGATTCTTAATTATACGCGTCTAACCGCCAGCAATGAAGGATAATTAATGGATTCTATACAACAGCTTTTGGATAAAAAATCTGGTAAAGAATAACGAAGAGAGTGAATGGATTAAAATGTAGATGATATTATTAAAGCTTTTAGATGAAAAAGCTAACGAAGAATAAAGAAGAACAGAGAATAATGGCAGAATGACTTTTGGATGAAAAACTTGGAAAAGACTAACCAAGAGGGTTACTGAATTGTGATAAAGATGATACAACAGCTTTTGAATGAAAAAGCTGGAAAAGAGTAACGAAGAGCAGAAATAAATGGCAGAAAACAATGAAGGAAACTAAAACTTACAAAAAGTTAATTCTAAACGATAATAATAAAAATTTTACTCAGAGTGTGATCAGAAATACTGTAGAACTCTTCATTCTTACTGTATTGAGAATATTGCCGGTGAAAGCATAGCCTTAAACTGTCATAAAGACCTCATATCGACTTTTAAGGAGACTTTCTAGGATGCACTCTGATATAACTTTATACGATAAGATTGCATATATTGCATTTTCACTTAAATATATATTCCAACAACGAATGTGGCGCTAGTTCTAATAAGACATATTAAAAGTGGCCATACAATTTAAATGAGATTACAGCGTTCTTTCAAAATTATTATGTTACATATATTATATTATACAAAATAGGTATTTAAATAAATTTTTAAATATGTGGTGGCTAGCTGACCTACGGCAAATCATCTTGAATATCGCGTACAAACATATGAATAGTTGAAACATTATATGTCTCTTATTAGCCAGATCATAATTCATTATTCTCGAGCCGAATAGCCACCACCTAAACACATATTCAAAAAGCACGCAGTTTCATCCAGTGATGCAAGGTTGTAACTGCTCCATTGGAACACAACTATGATTTTTTCTGTTGGTCATATTGAAACTATATGAAAATAAAATAAGATCGAAATTTAAGTATTACTTTGAAAAATTAAAATTATTAAAAAATTAAATAAATTTTTTTGTTTGGCTTTTGTCATTTACTGCGCTAGAAATATTTTCAATTTTTGTGTACATAGTTTTAAATTCATTCTCTGCTCTAATGGAGCATAGCTCTCATCTTTGAGTAACGCTTATTTAATGTCATTTTATATGAATGAACTCATCTTAACATATATATTTTCGTCTACGCTATATTTGTTTGAAAACAGTAACAACTATGTGGAATCTGAAGATCGAGCCGCCTTTGAAGTACTTGCTTTATCTGAATCCTGAGTGTCACGATTCGCATGTAAAACCCAAAGCAAGATTTCCTCATTCTTATATTCTATTTCTATATGATATCTTTTGGTAATATAAGTTTTAATTGCATCCAATGTAATATCTCTATGTTTGCGTTTGAAGTACTCCACAGCCTTCTCTACCATGTCTTTTCTAAGAGTCACGCGAGACTTCTTTAAGTTAGTGTCACTTACATCAGTAAACTATGAAAATAATTTTATAATTAATGATATAAACTAAATTGTAAATTTAAAATCATTGGATATTAGTGTTATTTTTATATAGTATTTGATATATAGCTATCTAGAGAGTTTTCAAGTAATTTACCATTTCGAAAACTTTTAGATTTTTTTGGTAGTTATACGATGACTTTTTGCTACAGTAAATTTAAAGCCATTTTTCTTAAGATATATGTAAATTACTTATTCCATAATTTGTAAACTTTTTTTTTCATTTTTTTTTTAATAACAATGGCAATGATATTATGTTTAATTATTAATTTATTTAAAATTTTCAATTGGTTTACAATGTGAAGGTATCTATTCCATAAAACAAATAAATTTTGGTGATATAATAAAGCATTTTGATGATTCTTGTTGTCATTAAGTTACTATTTTAAAGTAAAGTATATATGTTGCAAATGCAATATACTTAGTGAATTATGATTAATTTAATATAAAATATATAACTTTTAATAAGAAAATCAAAGACCAACACGCTTATGATTGGTTAATTGTGAGTGAAAATTTATATTGAAAATTAAGGAAGTGATACGGTGAGATTTGGTTCAAATTATACATTGGGTCACGCTAACAATTTTACTGAATATGACTAATAACATTCTTATAATTATAATTATATACAATATATGTATATAGTAACATAGAGCATAATATAGCTGCTATAAAGAAATCTGTCCTACATTTATCCACTACTTCCTTAAGAACTTTTGTAAATTACATTGTGATTAATAGACTTGTAGATTTATAATGTATTAGTAAACCTCAGTAGATCTTAATTTTGTTACACCACTCTCTTGATCTAAGTTAGTCTGTTATAAGTAGTAGTTTGGCAAAGCGGTTACAACTGCATTACACAAACTTCAATCATATAAAAATATTGTTCTAAAAAGAACGACGAAGACGAAGCATGAAAATATATGTATAACTAATCTAATATAATATATATAATATATTTGAGTTAAACTAATTTAGAACTATCAATTCTTATATTGTCACTGACAGGTATGCAGTTCTTCAAAGACTGATATCATAAAAAAATTAATTATTTGCTTTAGTCAAAATAATCAAATTTATTAAACTATAATATCAAGAAGCCCGATGAAGACCCCGTGATATGTAAGAAATGCTGATAAACTTGAGGACATAAAAATTAAAAGCATAAAAATGTATTATAAATGTAATATATTATATATATTAAGCAATACTTCAAAGTTTGTTATCAGAAAAAAGAGAAGTTATTTGCTTTAGTCGATTTAATCAATGTTACCAGGCTTACCAAGCCTGGCACTTGCAGTTCAAACAAATTATATACGGAGTATAAACTAATTAATAAAGTCAAATCTGATTAAACACTAATTGTAGGACGTAAAGTCGACAAGACAAACAGCGGGTAACAACAAAAGACATGTTCAACATGGATTAACACCCAGCACCTAATCCAACAAGCACCTAATAACTTCCTGTGACGTTTTGTTGCTATACAAGTCTCCAAAATATCTTTATGATACGTCTGTATATGACGTCACTTCACATCTGGTTTTGGCACAGTAGTAGCCCTAGACTGTATTATCTATGTTGGAAAATCTCATAATTTGTGAAAACAAAAAATTATCCAAAATATTCTTATCACGATTATTATCTTTAATAAAATATAAATTAGCATATAATGCTACGCTGAACAGTACTTATAATCTTATCTCATGTAGATGACATAGAAATCTATCAAAATGGCAGAAAACGGTATGGATTGATTAGAAACAAATTAGCGCTCAGTTGATTGATAGACATCGGTAAAAAGTAAACTCCGTAACAGTTTATATAAAAAAATATATTACATAATAATAATAATTAATATTTAATTAAAATTAAAGTCATATAAACGGCGGATTGAAGTATGCAGTGCGTGGCATCACATCTTCTATTGCAGAGAATGCAGCATGAAATATATACGCCATATGGCAATTGCGTCTGGAGACGTAGTGAACCGACGGCACTGAAATTTATTATATATGCTTTCATAGTGCCAGCGTTGGCCTGTTTTGGGTTTTGTGCAAATTTCATAAATACAATCGTATTTATGCGTCCAAAAATGACACCATCCGCTTTTTCCTATTTGGCTGCAGTTTCTTGTTTAGACTGCATATCATGCCTCTTTATCACACTGACCGCACTATCACGTAGCATTTTCTATAATAGTTACTTTTGGATTGTCTATGACTTTCAGTGGCAAACTCCGCTCTTCGGTATCACAACTGGAGCAGGCAACCTGATTTTGGCTTGCCTTAGCTGTGATCGCATGGTGTATTTATGGAATGGTCTTCCGAATGGTACACCCAGATTCTGTAGACGGCGCGTCGCACGTCGTATGGTCATTGTAGCCCTCATCATTTCGTTCGCAGTGAATATACCATATTTTTTCGTTTTCATTGTTAACGAGGATGGCACATTTCAGACAACCTCGTTTTATTACTCAGAGTGAGTAAGTTTTGTTGCAAATTTATTTTTTCCTTTATTATTATTTATTGTTCACTAAGCCGTTCTGTGTTTATTTTGGGGAACTATTAATAAACTTGTTGATATTACGTGCATACGAGTACACAGTAGATAAAGAGATAATATATTTTGCTATGATTTAATTATAAATAATTTACGCCAAATTATTTCAACACGAAAGGTGAAGTCAACTGTGGAAAGGAAGGAAATGGTTTTTTTAAATAAAGAATTATATAACATAGATGTGTTATATACCTAAATATGTACTTGTAGCGATGCCTTTATAATATGTTCTAATAAAATAAATATGAATAACTTATTATTACAATTCAATGGAGCTCAATGGAGTCACAGACGCTATTGAGTAAAAGTGCTTTAGGCACTAACTCGTTTGATCAAGCAAAGATGAAGAAGAAGAAGAAAAGATCCTTTCAGTATTATCTCGAATAATACAACTAAATAACATAAACTCAATAATTAATATTTATTCCATTAATATATATGGGTTACCGGATTTCAGCTTAACGCAGCTTGTCTCTCCATGCGCCTCAACTGCATGCGCGCCTTCTCCAGTCTCGCATATCAAATACGTATAATGCTCCCTCAACTTAATTACTCTACCGGAGACACGGTGTACTGAGAAAATTTGTGGAAAATTCCAAAATCATAATAATTTATTTATAAATGTTTTCCAGTTATTTGTATAATAAATGAAATCTCATTATAGAAAAAATAGGTCTCACATCCGAAAAAAAAAATTGCATTTATGTTCAATACAATAACTATTTTCAAAAACACCACAGATGATAGAAATTCGGCAATACTCGAAACTGTATGACTGTATGGTCAGCCAAAAATTCAATTAATTAATAAATATTAAAAAAATATTGTCGTTTCTTTTAAAACAGTAGTTTCTATTAAGAAAACTATTTCCTTGTAATGGAGTTGAAATTTATGATGCTTCGATATGGATTATTTTCGAAATGACCCATCATTTTTGCGGTAAAAAAACCTTTTTTCTTACCATTTTTATGAAAATATTAACTTATGTGCATTTTTACTAAAGAACTTTCCCACTATCCAGTAATTGTCCATATGTTGCTAAGTATGGGGTTTTTGAATTCGAAAAAAAAATTGTGAAAAAAGCCATCTATCAGAAATCAGGAGAATTCAATAAGATAATATTATACAAGATAAATATGTGACTGAGTATGTGGCTGATGAAAAGTGATATACCTAGTAGACGCAAAACTACGGTCACATTAAATGAAATTACAAACTTTATAATATGGATCATAATGACCATAGTTGTTATTTTAAAACAAAATGAGAATGGATTGGGTCATATTGAAATAGATGGAATTGAGCGTCAACAAATTGAAGGAGTTTGAGCATTATGTTTCGAATAATACTACGTCATAAGTAATATGTTAACGTTAATGATGTCGGGATAGTATTACAACGTATCATCTCTGGTTTTTACAATCCAACCTCGGGTGCACTATTTTTATTATTCTTTATGTTGATATGTATTTCTATTTTTCTGAGCTCTTCATTAACGATCTTTATTCACCTCAGTCACATTCTTCCACATTTACGGCTTCTAGAAAAATATGCTGTTCATTTTCTACTAAGAATGTTGTCTTTCTAAATATATAAATATCATATGGTTTTCGAATATTTGTTGAGTAAGGCTTTGATATAATTTTTATATTCGAATAAAATACGCAATATATTCGAATATTTTCTGCCAACAAAAATTTGTATGTTAGTAAAAATATAATAGTATATGTCAAAATCTTGACAATGTTTTTCTAGTGTAAACACAGTGTTTAATTTTAATTCTCGAACTCGGATTAACTCAAGCTATTCGAGCTGCATCAATTTCACAATATTCGAACACGTTGAATCACCTACAGTAAAACAAGAACTTGATAGTTACATCTATATTTTTTTCTTCTATTAATTCAACATTTTTAGTCAAAATTATTTCAAAATTAGAAAATGCAATCTTTAAGAAAAACATAACCTTACATAAATGTTCAAACAGTAAATTATTAAATATACATATATACATATATATAATTATGATATAACCATCAGTGAATAACTTTCTAAAGACTACAAATATTAAACTTGTATTCTATAGAATGAGAAAAGCAGATTCACGTTTTAGACAACCGATCTCAAGCTATACTTGACTTGTCACTATTGCCATATGATATTATATTCTTTCATTAACAAATTATCTTGCTATATTAAATTAAAACGAACGCATAAACCGCAGCTGTACATAATCTAATTAATTATAATATTATTTAGTTTTAATTTAACTTATTTAGGACAAAAATAATTAAGACTATTTACTAACTCTGTACATATATTGATAAAAAAATAATTATACGCAAAAGTTCACCAAATAGAGATTTACTCTATTAAATAAATAAAAATTTACTCTATTAAATATTATAGCAAAAAAAATAATCACATTCATAATATCTTATAATCTATAAAAACGTAAATGATTCACGCCAATATAACATATAAAATAATTATTCATATAAACAATTTTTCTCTTTCAGATTCTATAAAATCCATAACTGGTTTACTTTTATTTTATTAGGAATATTACCGGCTGTATTTTTACTCATCGGGAATGCAGTCATTGTCATAGCTTTTCGTCGTTGGAACAAGAAAAGCAAACTATGCCAAAATGCTAACGGAAGATCATCGAAATGTACTCAAAAGCGCTATAAAGTCAGTAATATTTTTAAAATCTATTTACTTTTTAATGTATATATAGAAGTTATAGAACTTAGTATATATATGTTTGCACTTAAACGATTTTTTCTTTGACTCCATACCTATTTACAGCATCAAACAAGACTCACTATCAGTATTGTCATAGTCATCACTTTGTACCTGGTAGGTGAGATTCCAGCTCATATGACATCACGTAAAAGTGCTTTGAATTTGCTTTTCGGAGGCGATATAACAAAAGTAAATTTGAAAGTTATGGAGAACATGGAGGTTATCTGTTTAACATTGAATGCATTGCAACTAAGCATGAATATAATCGTCTATGCTGTGATTAATCCATCCTTTATGCCGGAATTCTTTGCATGTTTACGTAGTACATCTGATGTTTGTTGTGATATATTTTGTTTCACTGGAATTATAAAATATTGTTATAAGCGCTACCAAAGAAATAAACCCAAAACTCTTAGAAGCACACAAAGAACCAAAGCGTCCCCAGTCACTAATTGCAATGAAATTGAAAACAACACTGGACATATACCACCCACAGAGGAAAATAATGAAAGTGGTTTAGGTATTATGTCTAATGACGAGACATCCCTGCGACGTGTCAGTAGTTGGAAACGTTCTAGTTCTTTAGGAAATCTTGCATATGATAATTATGGATTAGAAATTGAATTACCAACCGAAGAAGAGCACAACAAATCAAAAAGACATTCAATAGCTCTGTAGATTTTTATTATTTTATAATAAATAAATTTACTTATTTATATAATTAATTAAACAATTTATTAATAAAAAGAGAAATAATAGAAGTATTATTTCTCTATTAGTTTTCCGTAACTATCAAACCATTCTACCGGTTTTTGATTATTTCTTCGCGGAACAATTTCGTATTCAGTTAGTAGGCGCTTCCATTCTTTATTCGCAAACTTTCGGGCCTCAGCCATATTTCTGAACATTAACGCATATGGATCCGTTTTCTTAATTTTGTGGATTAAAAGTGCAAAACTTTCTTCAGTGTTATTTTTAGAGCCGCCCGCTTGTTTGTGTAAATTAAACAAAAAAGTTGGTTTCTCTGATGTATACTCGATCGTGTCAATCGAATCATTAAACTTTGGTGGACTTAGTTTCGTAATGAGGCCACCACTATTTGCTATTATTTTGCAATTGCAAATTATGATTATTAGAAGAAACTTTACACATGCGAACTTCATTTTCAATTTTTAACTACAATTTAATTTCAAAAATATTTTAACTAATATTTTGATATATTTTTTTTTTTTGACTCATTCAGAATATTTAATATTTACTTAACACAAGTGTTTTCTTATTTTACAAAGAGCAGATCCGACGTACATATGTATATGCTCATTTAGAAGAATAGTTTATGTCTAATTTATGTTATTTATATATTTATTTTTATATTTATTTTTATAATTAACATAGTTGAATTCCTCACTCATTTAAATTATTAAAAGAGTATAAATAAACTGATTTTAAATTCTGATATATATTCTCAATATCATGCAAATATTTAGTACAGAATAATGATGAATAATAATACAAAAATAATTAGAATAATAATGTGACTGTATTTCATGTTTTTTTTTTATTTTTCTGTTTTTTTTTGCGTCCAGGCCCCGCTACTCTTGCAGATAATTAATCTTGCCCTACAGTCTCCTTTTTTCAATCTCAGAATATGTGTTACGGCTCTCACTCCTGCTCTTCGTTTTAGATTAGATTGCGTCCAGATCTTTCTTCCTTTCCCTTAAAACATTTCCGATGTATTGCGTGATTTTGTTCCAATTTTCTGCTGGTTCAATAATTTTTTCTACAATATTATCGACTGTAAAGTGATCTTTATATTCTGCAAGTAGTGTTCTTTCTCCACGTCATCTTTCGCAGTTGAAGAAAGTATGCTCAGCATTGTTCTCGACTGATCCGCAGTATATACAGTTGGGCTGCTCTGCTTTTTGCATTCTGTATAGATATTTTCGAAAATATCCATGACCAGATAAGAAATGTGTGACATAATAGTCAATCTCGCAGAAATTTCTTTCCGTCCACAACTTTACTCATTTTGTAACAAAATTAACATTCCTAATTAAGAAAAAAGTCCAGAGAACGTTAATCAATTGCGTGAAGGTTCGGAAGACGAGCACACAGATGGATCCAAACTTGTAGAAAATTACATTAAGACAAGTATACTACGCCATATAAATAAATTAAAAACATTTAAAATCTAGTACCATACCAAATGCAAAGTTAATATAAATTACAAATTAACGTTGAAATTAAATGGTGAAAACTAAACTATCTGCGACTAATAGCCTGTTACCTGATGAAGCCTTTTGAAACTTATACCACCTTGATTAAAAAGTTTCATGAATTTATTCAGAAATTTTGAAAAATAAATGTATTCATTATCCAATCCTTCAAACTTTTTATAATCGGATTTTTTTATAACCATTTTTTTCACCAGATTGATTACTGGAATCATTTATACAGAAAAAATAGAAAAGAGCGAAATCAGGCGATTTCATTGGCTGTTCGATAGTATTCGTACTGTGCTTTGTCAAAAACTCGCTAATGAGGATAGCAGATTGCGAAGGTTCGGTATTGCAGCTTTTACAAATATCTAGCTATGGCGCTAAAATTTAGAGCGAAAGTTAATAGTAGAATAAGTCTAGTATGAATACGTAAAATTGTTTGTATTTCACGCATTGTTAGAATGATAACTTCCAACACAGTAGACGAAATGGCAAACCGCAAATTATCTGAAACGGACCATGAACACCGAATCAAGAAGTTTCGATATTTAATCGACATATTCTTGCTACGATATTTACCAAATACTAGTAAAAAATGTAACTTCGATGTTAACAATTTCAGTAGCCCTACGAATACTACTATATGTACTACTATAAAGTTCTTTAATAATTTAATAAATAAATAATTAATAAATAAATAATTAATAAAATTTGCTATTATTTTAATGTCGTGTTGTTACATAGAAACATTTCGTAATTATCATGTTAACGAATGGTCCTTTTTAACAAAAAAATATGTTTTGATACATGGAATTATATTATATATAAAATTAACTTAATCACAGTTTCCTAGACCCCGCAACGAATTTTGTTAAATTTACTATTTTGAGTAACCAGTGCCACCTAGAAACAACTAATAAATTAATCACGCATAACTATTAACAACAACTACCATATACGCGCAATATATTTATAATTTGCTATTTTAAAGCCTGATATTTCGGGAATTATTAGCACTACGATATATAACTTAACTATAAAAGTTTTTCAGAATAATCAATTTTACTTCACTAATCCTTCACTAAATTGAGGAACCAAGGAAGCTGTAATAATGACATATTTTGCTTTTATTATGATCAAATTTTCCTTATACTATATAATCTTTAAAAATCAATAACCTCAGAGCGAAGGACCTACCAGTTCAGTTCCTTATTCATAGTTAACTTTAAAATCAATTTTAGTGTTAACTAACAAATAAATAAATAATATAAATAAACTTTTTCAAAACTTCAATCATATGAAAATAATAATAAAATTTCTAACAAGAAAATTTCATCTCTATAAGCGGCGAATTTAAAAATACGTTTACTACGAAAAGAAATTTGCTGGTATGGTTTAATTTAAATTGTAAGGTATATAACCATTAATATATATAATTTTTAGTGAAAAATACAATATTATACACTCATAAATTTTTATAAAGTTTGAAAATGTTCTAGTCTCAGTAAATGTTACAGGTTTAGTACATCGATTACAATTCTGCCTCACATAAATTGCGAATCTTAATATTTGTCGAATTGTTCAACTAACGAAATTTAATAGATCTGTAACACAATTTGTCAAAATATTTTGCAGCACTGCCTAACATATCAATTATACTAAATGTCATATATCAGACATCTCGCCGTCTGATATTTTACAGAAGATAAAAATAACAAACCTGTTTTTTTGCTATCTATGTAAAACACAATTTTTAACATTCACAATAGTATTTTGACATTTCGTTTTACAAAACAGAAGCGAAAAGGCACAAAGCAATTAAAAATAAAAACATACAACAAAAGTTTTGCTTAACAATAAAAATCAAGTCAAATTATATCATTAAATAAAATGCAGTTAATTTTAGAACACTAATATGTTTACTAAATAAAATTTGAATGTTTACAAAATACATATTTGAAAACGCCAAACAACGTTCTCACTTTGGAGCACCATTTTCCAATATATACGGTGAAAAAACAATCACCAAAATGGAGCAACTATCGGGTGTTATGATTATAATTATAATTGGTGGTGGAGTATTAACATTTGTTATGCTATTCATATTTGCCAAAAGACAAATTATGCGTTTTACTTTGAGAAGTCGCCGAGGACCACATGTACCAGTTGGTACTGATGCAAAAAAAGTATTGTCTCATAAATTTGTAAACACATTTCTTTTAATCCATTTATGCCACATTTTAGGCACTGAGGCGTGAAATAGAGCGTCGCTTAGATTGTATACCAAAAATAACACAAGAACCAAAATTATTGTGGGATGACGACAAATACATTTTACAACCCGATAAGCCACTACCACCCTACTATTATCGTATGCAGGCTGTGGATGATGTTAAATCTTTAGGTAATATAATAATTCCTAAATTAAAAATTACATATCAGTTTGAAAAGCGTTATTTAAACACTAAAAATCAGCTTCATTATCGAAATGTTAACCAACTTATGTACTAGTGAATGTATTCATTTTTTCTATTTGTAGAAAAAGAAATACATAAAAGCGATGGAAGTATACGGCATGCCTATGATAGCTTGCGTGCATTTTTACTAACAACATTATCGGCCACACTGAATGGCTCCGGTCAACGTATGATACACCAATTTTGTGATATGTACGAACATGCAAGACATGATCCAAATGAATTTGGAAGCGAAGAATATGATTCATATCATCGCCTATTATTAAAATTAATTGATGCGTAAGTTTATAAATAAAATGTGTAGTAATAGTTAAAAAATATGATTTTATACTATTTCAGTGCAAAACAACTTAAAAATTTAGCTAATTCACGTAAAACATCACCTGCACGTACACCAAAAAAACAAACTAAAATGCATTCATTATTGGATCCAGCGAGACTAAGACCACCACCTTTAACTAATTCTTCCAATAGCGGTGTTAATATACCACCCAGTAGTGATCTTACCGCCGGACAGCATTCCAAAGTCAATTTAACATTAGGCCTACATGGTTGCGATGACGCTCCAGAAGTAACGCCAAGCTCTTTACATTTACAACCAACAACTGAACGTGATATTATAATACGTAATCGTATAAAAACACCCACACTAGAAGATAAAGATGAAGATATAACTAGCGCAGATCCAGATGATAATGAAATTCGAAGCATATCATCATTGCATCAATTCCAAGGTAGTGCAAGTGTTGTTTGATTGTATATGCACGCGAGGCACTTGATCAAGGATATAAAAGCAACTAAACAGTTTTCCCTTAAATAAAAATTGTAATATTTAATAAAAAGTATACTTCCTCCGCGGGTAATAAGTTATAAATATTGACGAAATATTCAATTAGTTAAACATAATGTACCAATAAGATAAATTGCAATTTTAATTTAATAAAATAAACGAAAAACTAGTTTGTAAATAAATGTTATCGTATTATTTAAATAAATAATTAGTACGCAAGTTTCAAAGTCTAAACATAACATGATATACACATGTAGACACATTTATACATATGTTTATATATACATATTTAATTATAGATATATATATTTTTATATATAGATTTGGATACATAACATGAAGTGTACATGTAAACATAGTTATATAAATATATACATATAGATATAGATACGTCTGGAATTAAATATACTTATATTTTTTTATTTTTTAAAGACTTAAAGGAATTTTTATATATTTTTATTATTATCAATATTTTTTAAGTGCATAAAAAATATATTTAGTTTTCCACACTGTGAATTTAAATACAACTTTAGCAGTTACCATCTTTTTTCGCCATAAATTGTAATAAATCCAGAAGCCGACAAGAGTAACCATATTCATTATCATACCAAGAGATTAACTTCACGAAGGAATCATTTAATGCTATACTTGCTTTCGAATCAAAAATCGAGGACCGCTTATCTGTAGTAAAGTCACTGGACACAACATCATCATTGGCGAAGCCTAATATACCTTTCAATTCATTTTCTGAAGCCATACGTATTAGTTCTTTAACACATTCTATATTAGCGGGTTTTCCCAAACGGCATGTTAAATCAACCACAGACACATCCGCACATGGTACGCGAAAGGCCATACCAGTAAGTTTTCCATTGAGTTCCGGTATAACCTTACCAACAGCTTTTGCAGCGCCAGTTGAAGCAGGTATAATATTTCCGAAGCAACTGCGTGCACTACGCCAATTTTTTCCTGTGCCATCAACACATTTTTGACTTCCAGTTGCTGCATGCACTGTAGTCATAAGTCCTTCAACAATTTCAAAGTTTTCATGAACAACTTTTGCCAAAGGCGCCAAACAGTTCGTTGTGCATGATGCATTAGAAACTATCGTAATATCGCTTTTGTATTTATCCAAATTGACTCCGCATACGAACATTGGGGCATCTTCGGATGGTGCAGATATAATAACCTTTTTTGCACCATTTTTCAAATGCACTTCAGCAGCTTTCTTTGTCTTGAATATACCAGTGCATTCTGCCACGTAGTCCACATTAACTTCACACCATTTTACTTTTTCTGGATCTTTTTCATTAAAAATCTTTATTTTCACATCATTTACAATCAAACAATTTTTCGTAATGCATATTTTTTTATTGTAAACTCCATGCACACTATCATATCTTAGCAAATAAGCCATGTACTTCACATTCGCCCCAGGATCATTGATAGCTCCGACTGGCATATTTCGATCAAGGGCTTCGCGCAGCACCAAACGACCAATGCGCCCAAAACCATTTATCCCTATTGTGGGCATCTTTGAATTTAATTAAAATATAAATGTAAAAAATAAAAAATAAAAAAAAGGAATAAAAAAAATATGCGGTTTATATTCAAAGAAATTGATATGAATTTATTTCGAACAAAAAACAAAATTTAATAATAAAATAATTATAATATATGAACGCCTACTACAGTTTTAAAAGTTAATTATTTATTTTTTACACATTTACAAAAACAATAATTCTTCTTGTCCATCACAGCTTCTGTAGAATGAGACTCAATGGTGGAAAGTGCAAGCAATTCTGCCAGTAGAGATTAGGGATGTCAATTTAAAGTAAGCTTTCGTTAAGATTGAAGTGACAAAGTATTTTTAAAAATGGAAACAAGGACTGAATCTGTATAATTCAATTCAATTCAACATTTATTTACTTCTGCTTCTGAACTTATAGTTGTAACAGAAGGAGGTTTGATGTATACTTATTTTTAATTTAAATTAAAAATATTACTAATTAGATTTAATAAAAATATTAGATAAAAACAAAAAAAGGTTAAGTTAAATAAATAGTAGGGAAATAATTGTAATTTTGCAAAATCTTATTCGTTTATAATAAATGATCTGATTTTAAGACTATTTACTATATATGTGAATATTGCTTTAGATGATTGCGGATCAATGCAGTTGAAAATGAGAGATTTATTGTCTCTAAAGACTGTAAGTAAGAAACTAAGATGGTGATCTCTTACTGAGGAGTAAATAGGGCACTCAAACATAAAGTGATTCAACGTTTCTTCAGTTTTTAAATTACAAAGTGTACAAAGGTTGTTGATTTCGAGTCTATGAATTTGCCCGTTAATACAAAAACGAGTGCAGTTGAATCTGTATAATAAGAAAAACATTAAACATTAGAGAAAAGTGATCTTGTCACATGAGTCGAAATTCCAGTAATCTGTTTTAATTCTACGGTAACACAATAGGCATAAAGCTCTTGTTACAGTAGATCCGCCCAAGTGATCACAAATATTATTGAATACAAGAATACTAATTCGCGTCTCATCAAGCAAATAAAAAGGTAAAAAAAATTTCATCAAATCGGGAATGGAGTTTCATTTCCGGCACATGACTGACCACACATATATGTACATGTTCCTACTATTTTCGTGATAGATCTATAAAGTTTAAGGTCATTATTACACAAAAGGGTCCACTACTCCTAATAAAAAACTACTTTATGTTAGCTATATTTTTTGCTGATTTCCCTTATCTCTACTGGCAAAGTTGCTTGCACTTTCCATCGTTGAGTCTCTTTCTACAGAAGATGTGATGGACAAAAAGAATTATTGTTTTTTTAAATATATAAATAATATTTAATAATTTTTAAAACTGTAGTAGGCGTTCATTAATTATTATTATTTTATTATTAAATATTTACATTTAGATTTTAATTAAACTTAAAGATGCCCACAATTGGTATAAATGGTTTTGGGCGCATTGGTCGTATGGTACTGCGTGAAGCCCTTGATCGAGGTATGCCAGTCGGAGCTATCAATGATCCTGGGGCGATGGTGGACTACATGGCCTATTTGCTAAGATATGATAGTGTGCATGGAGTTTACAATAAAAAAATATGTATTGCGAAAAATTGTTTGATTGTAAATGATGTAAAAATAAAGATTTTTAATGAAAGAGATATGAAAAAAGTTAAATGGGGCGACGTTAATGTGGACTACGTGGCAGAATGCACTGGTATATTCAAGACAAAGAAAGCTGCTGAAGTGCATTTGCAAAATGGTGCAAAAAAGGTTATTATATCTGCACCATCAGAAGATGCCCCAATGTTCGTATGCGGAGTCAATTTGGATAAATACAAAAGCGATATTACGATCGTTTCTAATGCATCATGCACAACGAACTGTTTGGCGCCTTTGGCGAAAGTTATTCATGAAAATTTTGAAATGGTTGAAGGACTTATGACTACAGTGCATGCAGCAACTGGAGGTCAAAAATGTGTTGATGGCACAGGAAAAGACTGGCGTAGTGCACGCAGTTGCTTTGGGAATATTATACCTAACCCAACTGGCGCTGCAAAAGCTGTTGGTAAGGTTATACCGGAACTCAATGGAAAACTTACTGGTATGGCCTTTCGTGTACCATGTGCGGATGTGTCTGTGGTTGATTTAACATGCCGTTTGGGAAAACCCGCTAATATGGAATGTATTAAAGAACTAATACGTATGGCTTCAGAAAATGAATTGAAAGGTATATTAGGCTTCGCCGATGATGATGTTGTGTCTAGTGACTTTACTAATGATAAACGGTCGTCAATTTTTGATTCGAAGGCAAGTATAGCATTAAATGATTCCTTCGTGAAGTTAATCTCTTGGTATGATAATGAATATGGTTACTCTTGTCGGCTTCTGGATTTATTACAATTTATGGCGAAAAAGGATGGTATCTGCTAAAGTTGTATTTAATTTCAGTTTGGGAAACTAAATACATATACTTTTCTATGCACTTAAAAAGAAAAATATATGTATATTTAATTATTTTATTTAAATGAAAATTGCAATTAATCTTATTAGTACATTATACTTAACTAATTGAATATTTCATCAATATTTTATATGTTTAAATGAAATTTCGTTAACAATTTAATTTTATATGATTTATTTAATTAATAATAATAAGAACTTGAACATGTATTTAACTGTTTGTATATTAAAAAAACCATATTTAGATATTTAAAAACATGGTGTTTATAAATATCAAAATATCATATCATGGCTAGTACAGGTCATAGTACTGTCTTCACTGCCATACATATTAATACCATTCGCACTAACAACAACTGTGGTTGGGCTACTGCCGGTGTTTGCTCGCCTCGTAATAGGCAAACCTCATATATATGTATGAGACCAGTATAAACTTTCATCAAAAATCAAATTTATAATAATTTGGAAGAACTTGTGCATTGCATAAGCACACGAAGCCAATCATATATTTTAGGAAAAAGGAATACAAACGCAAAGACTAGGTGTTTGAATTTGTGTGTCCATTCAACGCTAAATAGGTACACTCAGCAGCTCTTTTGTATGTTTCCAACACTTAAGATCATTGTGTTATACGCAGCTTTTGCTTGCCTTAATTGTTCCACAATTTAAAGCTGATTGTGCTTTTAGCTGGCTACTCGAGCTGACTACCATGAAATCAAAGGGAGTAATTTTTTTGGTCTGCATTTGCAATCTGTATATTATTTGTCTGTGGTATAACTTATTACATGCGGAGGAAGTATACTTTTTATTAAATATTACAATATTGAAATAGTATAAAATTATATTTTTTAACTAATCCTACACATTTTATTTATAAACTTACGCATCAATTAATTTTAATAATAGGCGATGATACGAATTATATTCTTCGCTTCCAAATTCGTTTGGATCATGTCTTGCATGTTCGTACATATCACAAAATTGGTGTATCATACGTTGACCGGAGCCATTCAGTGTGGCCGATAATGTTGTTAGTAAAAATGCACGTAAGCTATCATTCCATACATTATATTTTGCTAATGATTCACATTTTTCATCTCATCAAAGGTTGTAACTCCACACATATATCGCTTCTGTAAATTACCACAAAATCCTACTTTTTAAATAATTGTGAATTATAAACAAAATAAGGGATCAAGAATGGTCGGGTCTATGTCACGTAGCCGCTCATCAATTTCGACCAAGTGCCGTTCACCTTCCCCTAAAGGAACTACACAGTCCCCGCTGCAAATGCAAAAAAAAAAAACAAATTTTATTATATTTTTTACATGTAACTTTATTTACACACATGTATATAGATGATAAATAAGTATTTTGTATTAAAAATACATTTATTATGTAAAATAAAGTCATTATTTTAACATTTAAATATAAATAAGTAATTCTAACATATCAATATAATTATTAGGTTGTATAAATAAACAAATAATTTAACAAATAATATTTAAAAAATTTTGGCAATACAATAATAGAATATAATCTTGCAGAATAAAGATGAGCCAAACAAATTTGTACCTTGCCAGATAAATTTTTAACTACGGACAAGAAATACTGTTATATAAAAATGAACGATTGGATTATTAAAAAATATTGAAATTCTTAACAATTTATCTGAAACAGACTTTTAGTAATTTCTTAAACATGTCATAATATAATACTTAAAAATAATGCTTATTAATTGTACAACATTTAAAAATTATTTACAATACCAAGTAATAATTCTGCAACAAAATGATTTCATATTGCTTGCAGTTGTGTCAAGAAATTAATTAAAAAACTATGTCGCTCCTGTATTTCTTGAATAGTTCTATTGGTCAGTTTTTCGCTTATACGCTTATACAGATCATCTTTTTGTAGCGATGACATTTCAACTAAAATAATTTTATCTTCATCGCGGGTCCAGGATGCGCTATTAGTTGTTTTTTTATCAGTCGTTTCTTTTTCGGTAAGTATTTTACCTTTATCCGATCCAGTAGCTAAGGTAGCCACTACGTCCAAATTAGAATCTTTATCACTGTTGCACGATTCTGTTTCATGTTTATTTGTTTCTGTTTGCTTACAGGGTGATGAATATGAACAAGTCGAGCTTTCGGACAAAAATTCCATATCAGAAAAAACTTCAGTTTTTGGTATAATTTGAGCATAGTCCACACTATCAGCGGAAATACCCGTAGTTATTTTACTTTGTGTATTTACTAATATGTCATAGTGCTGTTGGCATTCGAGATCTTCATGTTCATCATTGTTATGTTCAGTTCCATCACCACTGTTAACTAAATCTTTTAGTTTTTTTGCACAAGCAATAGCTGAACTTGTGCTCGGTAATATAACGAAAGGCCTTGTTTCTGTTTGTGTTCTAACGGGTGACTTGCATTTTTTGGTAGGTGATTTTCGTTTTTCACGTGCAGTATTGGTTATGTTTGTTGTTGTGGATGTTTTAGGCGAATGCTTTCTGGGAGATAATTTGCTTTCGTCGTTTGTAATTAATGAAGTTTTCTTCGCATTAGGCTGATGAACTTGAGTATGCCCAGTATTTGGTGTGCTTGTCATTGCTGCATAATAATTGGGATTGAGACGTAATGTATGTGCGTGTAAAGTGGCGCTATCACAGATTTCTGTTGGGGTTGAGAAAAATTCCTTTTGATCGACTATATCAATTATAAGATCTTGAAAGAAAATTGTATTATTGAGAATGTTTTATTAAATATATAGAATTTATGTTTTTTATTACTGTCAGTTATATCCTCTTCGATTTTGCAGTTAGAAATTTCGTTGGCATTTTTCGGAACTTCATTATCGGGATTTGGATTTGCCGCTAATTGTTTTTCACATTCGGCAGAAATAGCGTGTACACACCCAATATTTTGTACTGGAGTATCATCATTATCACTGTCCGCATCAGCATTAGTGTACTTAGTAGCCATAAATGTTAGTTTGGCCGGCAATGCAATCTTTCCACCATAAAATATACGTCCGTTTATATACTATAAATTAAAATATTCAATTAATAATAAACAAATGTATTTATATTTGCTATAAATATATTTCACATATTATAATATATACATAAATATATTAAATATGTATAACAAACGCATAAATATATGTAATGTTTATATAAACACACATAATATATAAATAAATGTATTATATATATATATATACATGCACTTATAAATGTATATAAATACATTTATAAATATATATTAATACATTTATAAATATATTAAATACATTTATAAATATACATTAAATATGTATAATTATATTCATAAATATATATACGTTATACTATTATATCAGATCAAATAAACATAATCACTAACAAAAACAATATAGATGTGATTGTTTTTAGGTTACCAAAGATGACCTATATACTTACTCGTAGTTGACATGCTGGTGGTTGATCATTATTTGGCGAATCAAGTAAATCCGAAATGGTTTCATAAAACTCTCCATTCTGATTATTCTCAATATCTTTTAAATTAACATGTTCCGTTGATGTGTACAGACTTTCTGGAGGTTTTGCATCAGGAAATTGTTTCAAAAACCAATCAATCAAAAACTGATTGCCTCTAAGTAGGGGCACAATTCTTGTTTCAATTTGTTTAATTGTGACATTTTTATCTTCTGCTAATTCATTCAAGCAATTATAAATCTTACGTATTTGTGCTGGTTGCTTGCTAAAATATATATTTAATTTATTAACAAAAGTTGTAATATTAGTTATCATAAAATGTTCAAAGAATTTTCCAATTTCAGCTGCTTCAGATGGCATTAAAAATGTAAGAAATATTTCAGCCAACTCTGGATAATCAGGTAAGAATAAATTCTCCATTTTCTAAAAAGACAAGAATATAGAAACTATAATACAAAAAGTTGTTTAGAATTTATTATTACTTACGTGATATAATTCAGCAACTTTGTCACGGCTTGGATCGAAAGATTTCAAAATTTCATTAAAGGTCTTGTAGTCTTCGTGTCTACCAGCCGCTAGAAATACTTCTTCAACTTTCTCATAAAAATTAAAAGCATAAACTGTAATTAAAGCAAAGAAATAGATATAGATATAATTGTTAAGAATAAAAATAAATTTACTTATTTATATACAATATTAAAGAATACCATTCTTATTTTAAATATATTTAAAAAACAAACTACATACTTGCGTCTTTACGATTTGTAACTTCTGCGCTTTCAGGCAAAAGCATTTGTCTTAAATTCTCTTCCTGTTTATTTAACTTTTTATTCCGACCTGTAGTGCCAGCATCTTCATCAGTTCCACCCCGGCTTCTTTTCGTACTAGTAGCGTTATTATTCAGCGTAGTTGTGTGATTGTTGGCAGCATCCTGACAAAACATTCTGAGTTCGACTAATAAGTCTGAATATAATTCCAATGCCTTCACTTTTATGTAGATGTTTTGCACCGCAGTCACATTTTCGTAGCGTGTCTTATGTTTCTTTAAAATTACCTGATACTGTTTCAGGAGTTTTTTACACTTTCTCTTCACATATTTTATTGTTTTACGTTTATTTACACAATTCCTCAGATACTTTTTACGTTTTTTAATCTTGGCCTTTGATGAATAAAAGCAGTCTCTATTTGTTGCTGCTATAAATCTTAACTGTTGCGACGATTTGTTAATTTGAGGCTGCTCAGCTATATCGTTATCGTTTAGGTCTGGAAGTGAGTTAGTAATTTTATTTTCAACTGACGCTGTAGACGGTATGGCTACTCCATTAATATCAAAACTGTATGTAACTGTTGAAGCGTCCGGTGCTAGATTTTGTACTGCTGTACAATTGCTTACTTTATTTTGTTCTTTTAATGCTAGAACTGATGCTGAAGCAACATTAAATGGATCACTAACATTGTATAAGCTTCGATTATTTGTTGCTGAATTGTAATTCAATGATGCGTCCCCAAACATATAATTTACATTTATAGTCAACGAATTTGGCGACGTAGTTTGTGCCACAGCCTTCACACTCGGACTGTTTTCATTAGGCACCTTACTTACGGCTTTTTCTATATTTTCAATTACCGCATTATTATCAGACTCAGTGTCAGTAAAGTCCTCATTTGTAATCTCGATTGTATCCCCAAGAATTTCACGTACAAAGTCTGAATAGCAAACTCCTGCCTCTGAAGATACTTTCTGATTCTGTTTCGCCTTCTTTTTTATTGGTTGATTTTTCTAAATGAGTACAACATAAAAATGCAGATAATTTTTATACAAACAAATTTCATTTAAATCTATTATTATATTTTACACTTAATAATACCTTATTTATTATAAAAGTCACATATTTAATTAAATTAACGCACAAATTCAACAAACTAAACCCAAACAAACAAAGCGAATAAAGGAGCGAAATGAAATGTCAATATTTTTTATTGCCCTCCTCCGTAATAAACATTCGCAGCAAATTTTTCCTAATAGATGGTTTTAATATACACATTTATATACATATTTAAATATTATAAACATTTAAGTACTAAATTTATTTATATAAATGTATTTAGTTTCATAGTAAAAATAATTTTCAATAAAACCCCAGCTGTAGTTTTATACCTGTTTTTGAATACCTATAAACCGAGAAGGTTTTTAGTTACAGAAGTATAATAAATTATAAAATATTAATTGTATTATTACGTGAATCATTTATAAATAATTATTTATAATTAGCTATTTATTTTATTGCAAATAACTGTTTTACCAAAAATTCAAATTTTTAAATAACACGATGACAAATATTCAATGGATTCTCAATTTTCAATTACAGATCAACGTTTTCACTATATACGTTTTTATATATAATATAATTTATACTGATATCAGTTTAAATAAGGGATAGAATAAACGCATGCTAAAACTATGTCCGAAACAATATTTGATCATTTAAAGAAGGTTTGACCAATGGCATAAATATGAGCGTTTAATGTTTCAGACAGTTTTTTGCAGCAAAAACAGATCTTCCTAACCTCATTAAATTTGTATACAAAAATAAAAAATATTAAACAGAATTTTTGTACTATTTTAAAATATTTTCTTTATTTTGTTTTTTATATGGAGAAATTAACGCCCAGCGCCGCTAATGCAACAAGTGTCCAACAATATATTATTAAAGATTTATGTACTGTTAATCTCAACACAACCCGTGAAAATGAAAATTTTAAAAAATATATTGTTATTTTAGCTATTAAAAAAATGAAAACCAATACAAAAGATAATAATAATTAATAAAAGACTAAAGTTAAAAATAAAACAAAAGCTTATTAGTTTTTATTTTTGTTTTATTATGATACAGTTTTCCTTTTGTATAATACCTAAAATAAATATATAATTTTCAACTAAACGGGATGTGATGAGATTAACAACACACAAATCTTAAATAATACCTCGTAAATAACTATTTAATATATTTTTTGTTGTATAAGTCTATATAATGCAGACATAACTTAAAACTGAATTCATATATTTATAATTATGATTATTAATTATTTTTAATTAGGAATAATATATAATAGTTTATTTCTTCTATTTTTTTTGTTGATAAAATTAAAATTAAAAACAAAGGGTTATTTGTTTTTGTTAATAAAATTAAAATTGAAAACAAAGGGTTATTTGTTAGGGTTGGAATAAAAAAAAACAAGTATTAATACATAAATTTTTATTTTTGTGATCAAAATTTTATTTTTTAAAACATATGTATTTTGAATGTAAAGAAGTCTTAAACATATAATTTAAGAGAAAAAATAAATATTTCACAAATAGATTTTTTATATATTTTATTAATTTATCAATGTTTTATATTTCATTATACTTCATTTTTTAAATATAAAATTCTTATATTAAAACATTCATTGTTTATAAGGACTAAATATAATATATGACAACGGCGAATAGAGCGAATTCCATAAATACAGTTATTGTGAATTATATTAGGAAATAAAATAGATTGTCAAAAATATTGAACATTCACAATAACTTAAAATTGTTTTAGAAATTGTTTGCAGAATTAGTACACGGTATTTAATTTAGTAAAAATTACATGCAATTGAATTGCATTGTATTTTTGAAAATATTTCAACAATTTAACAGAAAAACTTTTCCCATTCCCAACGTTAAAATTATACGAAACACCAACTTGTTATTTCGTACGCAGTAACAGACATAAAACTGTCCACGTCACGCGTTTGTATATAATCGTGTTTATTTTAAACAAGTTTCATATTAACAATTTTTTAAAAGATGGCATCGAAAGTAACATTTAAAATAACACTAACATCAGATCCAAAATTACCATTCAAAGTCCTCAGTGTACCTGAAGCTACGCCTTTCACAGCAGTACTTAAATTTGCTGCAGAGGAATTTAAGGTACCAGCTGCTACAAGTGCGATAATAACAGACGATGGCATTGGCATAAGTCCAGCACAAACTGCCGGAAATGTTTTTCTTAAACACGGATCTGAGCTACGTCTGATACCACGTGATCGAGTTGGCAATAATAGTTTTATATGTTAAATATTTATATATACTAAGAACCAAGTAATTAAAAATTTAGTTTGTTACGCTAGTTTTTTTTACAAATAAAAACTTTAAAAAGGCAAAATATTTTTTATTAATTTGAATACTATTTAGAAAGCAATTTGAAGCGAATGCAATGAAGCAATAATACAAACTTTTACATACAACTTTTTTTCATCCAGAAATATTAAGATTAATTCGACAAATTGATATGTCTTCACTATATAATATATTCACTATATATATATATATATATATATATATATATATATATATATATATAAAAGACATTAAGTGTTTTTTGAAATCTGATAAAATCTGATAAAAAAATACAATTGTATTAAAATTTTATAATTGCATAAAGATATGTATCAACTTCAATATAAAGCAACTTAACATATTGCAGCGAAGTAACGTCGTATTGTTCGATTTCGTTGTCTGGCCCAACAGGTAGAAAATTTCTATCTCTCACCCTTATTCTTAATCTAGTTTATTAGATTAGGAATAGTGACAAAAAGTGGGAATTGGAATGAGTAAATAAGGTAGCGTATGTAATGGCCCTATTTAAGAGCTGGTCGAAATCATGAGCGGTAGAACCACATTTTGAAATCAATCGTGACAAATTTTTGTTTGGCATGTAGCTGTGTGGTGTTCTTAGTTGAATCAGAATAGTTCCCGCTGTATGGAAATGCCTTAGTAAGTTAGAGGTTAGACAAAGATATGTTAACATTCAACTTAAATCGTAAAGAAAACAGAGCATCGTTGATATTTCCAAGACTGCAATAGTTTTCTATGTATTTAATTGAGAAGGAGAGTGTTTAGACAATAGTCTGTAGTTTTCAGATTTATACTTTTTGTTTTTTTTTTACAATGCAATGGCGAATTCTTAACAATGAACAGAATAAAATCATAACTAGAGGAGGTTATTTATATGATGTTTCTGCTAACATAAATAGTTTTGTTTATGCTTACGCAAAAAATAATTGTTCATGATATATAAAAAGAGGTAAAACACTTACCGTTTTAATATGATCTTGCCAAGCTAATGGTAATTCCTGAAATCTGTCCTTTGGTGGTAATACAACTCCATTTGGAAACGTAATCAAATCATGTTCAATTGGTGGAGCTCTCATGTTCTCAAAAAAATACTAAAATAATGACAAAAAATTAATTTTTATTGGGTAATGTTTACTAACTACCACACCTTGACAGGATTATAGGAGTTGCTCTTTCTTAAGTCTTTAATGTAATCATAAACACGTCTTCCAGTCTTCCCAAAAACAATATCATTAACAAGACGTTCACATGCAACCATCTCAAGAGCCTTTTTTTTAGAAAATTTCTCTTTATTCTGCTTTATTAAAGACAAATGTTTATCTAAACCCATTGCGATCAGAATAGACTCTGATGGTGCGAATACGTTGTAACCAATACTTCGAGCTCCAAATGGAATGCGTGGTAAATACTGAGGATACATAAAAACATTGCTGTCCAATATTAAGTCCATAATACGTGGTGGAAAACGAGTAACTTGACGTGTATATTTGTTACTGCGAAACAAAGACTTATATCATAAAATCTCAAAAAAAAAAAAATAAAGAAAAAGTTACAAATACTTACGTTTGATCAATTTCTTTATGTATAAATCTGAAATGAAAACTTAAATAGATAAAAATGTATATTAAAAAATGAAAGTACTCACTCCATCATTTCTTTATTTTCAACGGTATCCTTAGCTAATTCATTTTGCCAATTTTTAATCAAGTCTAGAGCTCCATACAAATTCCAAGCATTAAATGTTGAGTTAGTTTTAGATTTTGTTTCGAGTTCCTCTAGCATTGATTTGATTTTTTCTCCTTTCTTCCAAAATATAGGATGACTGTAAACTTGCAAATATGTTTGCGTTAAAAATTGTACATGTATGCGCAATTGTTGTTGAAAGATGTCATATTGCTCCTTTGTCAAACCTTTTTTGCCTTCATCTAATTTTTTTGGAGAGTGGCGCACCGCGTGACGTAAATTCTCAAATTTTTTTTCATATTCAGAGAAAATGTGACGCTTAATTGATATATACTCAAAAGTGAAATTATTGTCATAAGGTTTACCGTACTTTCTAATTTGCGAATCTGTATAGTCTTCTTCATTATATTGTTCAACAATAACCTCATCAAGAGGAACAACTTTAACAAGTCTATAACTTTCGGGTTCTCCAGGTATTGGTATAGCAATCATATCAGTATCGGTAACTAATGAAGTGGAAGGAGCTGCAAAAGATTTAAGCGGCGAAGAATTATATGAGACTACAGGAATACCTGCCGCTTCAGTAAATTCTGACACTATTGGAATGTTTGTGCTGGGAGTAGACATCACATTCGGTCGAAATGTATTATCATTTTGAACTGTAACATTAGCATTAAGAGGTTCACTATATATATACTGTTGGTCAGGTTGAGTGTTCGTACAAATTGTTTCAGTTATTTGCAATGTGTTTTCATTATAAGCAATATTATTTCCATTCATTACTGGTACATCATCAACAGGACCAAAATCTATATTTTCGAGGCTAATACCCTCTTCAATAAAACTTTCATATAACTCAGTAAGCAAATCATTAACTTCTTTTTTTGAAATTTCTATGTCTCGTAATTCCTCCGAGTCAACTAAATTTAATAATTGAATATTCATTATAACTTTTTCGTTTATTTAAATGAATTTATTATATTTTACCGCGCACTCTTTCCGCAGCAACATATTCAGGATCATTAACAGGGTCGTCATCGTCAGCGGTATTATTGTCATCTACATAAAATATTAAATATTTTTAAAATTTATTACAAGCAAACATTGAGAATTATAGAATTGAAAACAGCCTTAAACGAGTGTATGTAATTAAAACACAAAGTGTGTAATTTTAAAGATTTATTTATTTAATATTGCTGACTATATTTTTTGAGATCATCCTCAGTGCATGTGGGTTTTATAATTTAATATGATTTATTAAACTTATTACCTAATTATGAGGATTTAAATTCAAGTGAAGGAACTCAAGAAAGAAGTCAAAAATTTCTAAACGTCGGCAATATTAAATAAAAAGCTATTAAAAATTACACACTTCGTATTAATATACTTGTTTACTAAAGCCTATTTCAATTCCATAAATTCAAAAAAACTCGTGAACTCAACAGAATCTACAAATTAAGAATAATAGTCTTAACTCTTGACTTACTTAAAGGTTTTGTGAACTCGTTTAGAAATTCAAACCAAGGTTTATCATTTTTATGATTATCCATATCAATAACATCTATATCTAAATACTCCAAATCGGGTGGAATAAACTGCGACTCCAGATCTTCTAAAGTTGTTTTTTCCAAACATAATTTCGATCTAGTACGTGCAGCAATTAGAGGCTCTGTATTGGTTTTATCTAATGGTATTTTAAAGCATCCATCATCAGTTAATTTAACTGGCGATTCATCATGCTCTGTATAAGGCAATGGAGTTTGTGGGGTACAGGGATTAGAGTCGATCTCAGACGCAGTAGTATTGGGTTCATCATCAGACTATAACGTAAAATAAAAATAATTTTTAAATTAACTATTAAAAAGTACATCATTTACGGTAAGTTCTTCTTCATCTCTGGGTGTGAAATCCTCATCATCTTCATCTGAATGTAAATCATCTCTGATTAGCTTAAGTATTTCTGGCTCCAATGATGCATCGTCCAATTTTACGGATTGTGGTATCTTTTTTATTAGTTCACGTGCCTTAGAACGTGTCAGCTTTGGAACGACGGGCGTATCAGTAACAACAATAGCACACTTATCTTTCTCTTTTCGTTCCTGTGATAATTGATCTTCTGCTTTCAATGTTACTAGAGCAAGAATGTGTTCATTTTTTATAATTTTCTATAAATTATATAAATTTAAAATCACTAAATATTTTTAGAATCATGACAATATTATTTTTAGTACAAACCTGTAAAAGTTTTTTCATTTCTTCTTCAGTGAGAGATTTTTTTCGTGCTACCTTTCTGAGCCTTGTTTCAATTTCTATAACATCTTTCATATTACAATCTTCCAGTTCAGATTCTAGATCGCTCTCAGTTATTTCCATTTCACGCTTTCTATTGATTTATATTTTATGTAACATAAAACACATATTATTTGCCAAATAAAAGAAGTTTACCGTTTACGAGTCCTGCTACTTATGGAGGAGTTACTACATCCACTTGTATTTTTCCGTTTTGATGTATCACAAGTTTTTGTAGGACTTGGAGTTTTATTAGGCATAATTAATTAAGATTTAAAAAAAACAATACCGTAATTCTATTATTTATAACAATATATTTTAGTAAACAAAAACAACTGGAGCCTTCTGTTTTAACTTGACAACTAAATTATCTGTATGTACCATTCACAATAATATGAAAGGCTCTTATACAGTTCATTCACACAGCACAAGTGATCACAATTTTGTTTACTTGGTAAAAATTATTTAATTGCATATAAAACCGCAAATAAAATTAAAATTAAATTGTAATTTTTACAAAGTCAAGTTCAAATTAAATTCTTATTTCACAATAGGACAATTTAAAATGAAATATTTTTTTGATGAGATTATGATCACTATTATCATCATTATATATTATTAAATCATTATTATGATTATTAATGATCATTGAACGCGTGTCGCCTAAAAGTTAATATGCAAATCAAATACAAAATTCGTAAAAATAAGCTAACTTTCCTGAAACTGCTTAACAAATAAGCAACTTTTAATACAATGGTGCTGTCTTAAAACTGATTTATTGTGAATGACTTTTGAAAGAAAATGGTAAATTCTAGTCGTATGACACATGAGTTTGTAAATTTATATATTTTAAAAAAGGAATTTATTTAATAAAATTCATGAAGATGACTGACAGGTTAGTAATTATGGGGAAATCATTCGCTAATTATTTATTAAGAAAATTATATTATTATTTCTGTATTATGTTCATTAAAAATGCAATACATGAATTAATACAAATACAAAACACAATCGTTATAATAAAAGCAAAAAGTAATGACAATTGCAAAAAAAATAAAACAATGTTAAATACTGTTCATTTAGTATTAACTAGTGATGTTAGTAGATTAAAAATTATATAAACGAATATATTGACGATTTCGTATTGTCTTCTAAAGAGCTGTAGCTATCAAAAATTTGAAATATTTGTCTAATGCACCTCTCTATGTATCCTTCTTATTTCATTATTTTTCTCCGTTATCAAGGATAAAGTCTAAACAATTTATAATTTTATATAAATTCATATACAATATAAAATGCTCACCAATAATGTTTTTTATAAAATTATTTGCAATTTGTTTCAAATTCTTTTACTTGTCATAAGTATACTGATTTAAGCAGTGATGCCAAGTTATTCTTAAGCAACCAGAAGTTGTACTATTAAAGCATTCATGTCAAAAGAATACATCTATTGTTGACAATACCAACAAATCAAAATTAAATGAATGCATATTTTACAATTAAAATAAAATTAAATAAAAGCATTAAAAATACTTTATTTCACTGACGACAAATATTTTTATTTTTTTTATAATAAATTAAATAATTACAAATTATTTTCACAAGACAATATCAAAATATTCGTTACTATGGTAAACCCTCCGCTGCGCGTATCAACTAATATAGTATTTTATTTAATAAATTCTATTAATCCGACTTAAACCTGTCTAATATTATAATTAAAAAATGTTTTTTTTATAATTTATATATATTATATATGATATAATACAAGCATTTCCAACACTTAATAGTTTATTGTGAATTTAAGAAAACCACCCTAAAAGAATTTGACATATAAAGCCAATGGCAGATGCATTACGCGTCGAAATTTATGAGACGTTTTTTTAATATATTTTAAACAGGTATTTGCAAATTAAAATTGATATTTTAAAAAACTATGTTGTTAAAATTGTGGAGCTATATAGCAAAATGAACAGTAAGGTGATTTTTTTTTCTAGCTTTAGATGGACTCGTTACCGGCAGCTGAGGTGGTGCTGTACAGCATTATTGCATTAATAATTGTAGAAAATCTTTTTGAAGTTTATTTATCTTGGCGACAGGTAACTATTACAACTAAACCAAAAATAATATATACTTAAAAACACAATTTTTATTGTACTGAAAGTTTATTACAAAATAATGACAATAAAATTCGTTAACCTATATCATCTAAGCTGTTAACATATGACGCATTGTGAAATTGTTTATTTAAAATATTGATTACAATTACGATAACATATGCCAGACTGAGTTTAAATCAGTGAATTTTGTGACGTTAAATCCAAAGATTGCTAAAGGTGGCCTGAGAGCTCCTAAACGATGTCAACACCGTATTAAGGATACGCTTGGGCTCCGGGATAAAACAATATTGAGGGAAATTACAGTTCCGTGACTATTTGACCAATCGCGCTTCAAGGACCGTTGGAATACTGCTTTTGCAGTTGCCAAGCACAAAAGCAAAGCAACGATCTGTGAGCTGCTTCACAGAATTGTTCAGTACTAAGATTATAAACAAGTGTTTTATTGAAGTTTCGACATAATTTGATAATAAACTAACAGTTAATGATCCATGCTAAATCACAATGGACCGTTAGGTCTTAGTGATGGATTATTGACTTATCCGGTTAGACTGACTACGATAACTTATGTTAATATATGTTATATTTATTTAAAAATAATATTTCAAAGATTTTCGTATAAATATATTTATTTTATTCTTTTTTAGGTACGAGTATTTAAGACTGCCTTGGAAGTTCCCAAAGAACTCAAAGGTTATATGAATGATGACACATTCCAAAAGTCACGATTATATGGTCTCGATCGAGAAGTTTTCAGCATTTACAAAACAATATTGTTTGATATTATTATTGTTTGTTTAGAAATATATTTTGGTTTTATAGCATTCGCTTGGAAAAAATCGGAAGCGATAGTTCAATACTTTAACCTTAATGCCGAAAATGAAATTATCGTTAGCGTTATATTTGTAGTGCTTACTAGTATATTAAGCATTTATAAGGAGATCCCTTTAAAAGTTTATAAAACATTTGTTTTGGAAGCGAAACATGGGTTTAACAAGCAAACACCCGGATTTTTCATATGGGATCAATGCAAAGGATTTATTGTATCACAAATTCTGATGACACCAATAACAGCGGCAATTATATACATCGTACAAATCGGTGGTGATCATTTCTTCATATGGTTATGGGCATTTGCTGGAGCGATTTCATTATTACTATTGACCATATACCCAATATTTATTGCACCTCTTTTTGACAAATACACACCATTAGAAGAAGGACCACTTCGTCAATCAATTGAAGATTTAGCTGCTAAGCTCAAATTTCCACTTACCAAATTATATGTTGTTGAGGGTTCTAAGCGTTCATCCCATAGCAATGCTTATTTTTATGGTCTATGGAATTCTAAACGTATTGTACTTTTCGATACTTTACTATTGAATAAAGGTAAACCGGATGACTCTGAGTTGTCAGAAGATGAAAAAGGAAAAGGTTGTACTAACGAAGAGGTGTTAGCCGTACTTGGACATGAATTGGGCCATTGGAAATTAGGACATGTGACCAAAAATATCATAATAATGCAAGCCCATTTATTATTGATAATATTTATATTTGGTTATTGCTTTAAATATCCACCATTTTATGAAGCCTTGGGTTTCGAACCAGGAACTCGTCCTATATTGGTAGGACTTCTTGTTGTATTCTCATATGTTTTAGCGCCATATAATGCTATTGTTAGTTTTGGAATGACAGTGCTTTCAAGACGTTTCGAATATCAAGCTGATGAATTTGGTCAGAAATTGGGATATGCCGATCAACTCGGACGCGCCCTCATAAAGTTGAATTTAGATAATTTAGGCTTTCCAATTCACGATTGGTTGTATTCGTCGTGGAATCATTCACATCCGACTTTATTACAACGTCTAGCACGTCTTAAAGAACTTGAAGCAAATAATAAGCACAAGAAAACGAATTAAATATATTTTTATTTATTTTGTACTGTCATTTAAAACGCATGAATAAGTTTATATGACGGAAATGCAGTGAAAAAACCAAAAGCTTAAACAGTCACATATTATGCAGACAATTGTATATTTATTTTATTCTATTTTATTTTTATATTAAAATAAAAATTTTATCATAAATATTTAATTATGTTTTTTATTTTTAAAAGTGCTAATATGCAAATGGACACAGTGCTTGCATACAAATGATCGAAGGTATATGACGTAAAATTGTTGTATAAGCTTGGTTTGATGCTTTATTGGCAGTAGATAAATAAAGTAAAGAGCCGTAATACAAGCATGTAAGCAGAAAGTAGGAGGAGGGCTTGAGGGATTGTAGCTTCGCCCGAAAGCTACATAGATGCAGTGAAACTGCATTTTTAACTTGTCATGTCGTATATACATCGGAAAAACTCCTTAATAGTTACTAACTAAAAATCTTAAAAATTCAGGTTTCTAGAACTATTAGAAAGCAATATCTTTTCTGAAAAGCTCTAATACGGTTGGCTACGTTACACGCTCAGCGATGAAATTTAATTTCCAAAACTGACGAAACAGTAAAAGGTACAGGATAATGTGCAAGAGATTCTATATAATGTGGAATTGATTAACAGAGATTCTGGAAAAGTGTGTTTAGAGTAACATCGTGAAACTGAAACAATTGGCAGCTCTTTGCTAATAGAGTAATCTATTGTACGAGTATTTATGTGAATTTATATTATGTATTGATAAAATAACAAGCTTTTGAAGAAAAATTATAATTGGGCTGCCGGAACTACATTATATGTAAAACTGTCAAGTTGATAGACTTAAGGTTACTAACATGGTTGGATGAACAGTACTAAGAATATTAATTTGTCTGATTTTAATTAGCTTAGGTATTAGGCTTTACGAATTTATCATATATTAGTCGCTACAATGACTAATCATATTAAATTAAGCAAATTACTGATATAATCTAAGAAACAATAATTATAGCCCAATAAAAGAGACTTTAACTAATGCTAACATGAGGAATATATATTAATAAAGCACAAGAAAAATCTATTGATATGACAATACCATCATCTGAATCATTTGGATATTATTAGCGTATATGACATTAGCCGTAGAATTATCTCATTTCTACAACTTACAAAGTTATTCTTGAACACTAATTTAACGTACCAATATTTGCTTGTAACTTAAGTGCTCCTGAGGGCATTATAAAATTGTTGTTTAACACCCAGGGTGTTTGTCATTCTACGAACAGGGTGATAATTTATTGGGTATCTGGTTATACAGAAATAACAATAAACCCATAGATAGTCTCGCAAAAACTGTTTCAGAAATTTAATTTTGTGAACAGAGGCCTTATTATGAAATATGTTTGTCCGCATCGAGGTCTCTGAAAGACCTGCCACGACACGCCAGGCAACTGCCAGACTGAGTTGATTCGTCCGGAAGTTTCTCTTTAGCAAAACAGAGCTAAGATTGTTGAGAAGTTATATGAGCATCTTTCACGGCCTGCGTTATCATTTTAATAAAAATGATCTAACTAAGGAACCAGAATGTCAATTTTACTTGGAAGCAAATGGGATTCCTGGTCACACTTTTTATGACTGCACGAATTTGAACTGCGGCAGGAGAATATTACTGGTTCGGTAATTGTTCTTCTCTGATGTTTGCATGTCTTCAAAGCCGAACATTTTGATTTCTATTTAAAAGGCGAAATGTCTTCTGTTCAATTTGGTTAAGTTAGCAAAAAGCACAGTCATGGTCTCAGTGCTTCGCTTTGTTGCAAAGCAGTACCCTGTATTCTACTTATTGGTTTGTATTTCAATAATGAAATATATTTTGATTATTTTGATTTTGATTTGATAATGAAAATATAATAGAATAGGAATACTGTTAGCATCTGTATAAGTAACGGATAATTTATTTAAATACATCATTATTCAAATATGGTTTTCCAACTTTTTCTTTTATTATAACAGCTGAAGCGTTCCAGAAAAAGTTTCAGAAAGAGGAACTTAAGCCATCGTTTTATTAATATTGGTAAGATTTGGATCTATCACTATGAACTTAAATCCAAAGAAAATATTACGAAGAACTCATTCTCCACTCTGATGATTTTATAATACAAAATAATTTAATTTATTATTAGTCTTCGCGTGATCTATCGCATTAGAAACATTCTGTGAATCATCTACAAACATAATATATAGGAAGAATAAAAAACAGGTAAATTAAGTTTGTTTTATTTATTTATTTTTAATTAATTTAATATATTTTTGCAATGTTTTATTATTTTAAATATAATTATTTCAGCATTTTATTTTATTTTAAAGAAATTTTAAGTACTTACGTTTTTTAATTTAAATAATTTTCTTAGAATAATTGAATTGGCTTATTTAAAGATTTTTTGGATTTTAAATTAATGAAGGTAATAACTCTTAATAAGAAATTACATAAGTTTATTTTAAAATGCTTATTTTTAATTACAATTAACGCTTAAGAATTTCACGTAATTATAATAAATTAGATATAAATTCTAAATATTGAATTAAATTGTGGAAATTAAAAAAATTAAAATATAAATATTTGTAATTATTAGTTTTTTTTTATTACTTTAAAAGTTACAATTTTAATCAAATTTATAGTTATTTTTTAATTTTTTAAAAATTCAGTTTTGTTATAAGTGTAATGATATGATATTTTAAAATTCTTTTAATAGTTTTACAAAAGAAAAATGTGTTCAGAAGGCCAGTAGTGCTAACTTGAGCAGAATTTTTAATTTTTTTTTAAATATAAACTAATTTTATGTATAAAGCTAAAAGTGTAGCAAAAGTATAAATAAAACTATTTAGATAAAAATTCTAAATTGAGTTTCACTAAACAAATTATTCATTAAGATGATAGCACCGTTTAAAGATAGTTTTCATGAGTAAATGCTATTCAAAATTCCTTTTGTGATATTTTCATGTTATAGTTGATTAAAGTTTTATTTGTATAGCGATTTTCTATTTTGTTTTTTAAATATTTACTTTATTATATTTTCTTTTATATGTTATTTTTGAAATTATAATTTATTTCAAATTTAGTACATTATATTAATTATTATATTTTTATTTAAGATTTTTTTTGTTAGAACAATAATGATGTGTTATAGATTGAGATATTAAATTTTTTTTTTAACTTTTATTAAATGTTTTTTTTTAAGTTTTATAATAAATTATTTACCTACATATCATATCAAGATTTAATAATTATTAAATTTTGATTTATTATTATTTATTATTTGATATCTTGTTTTATATATTTATTATTAATTTGTATTCTTAATCTAAGCTGATTGGCTAGCTTCTATAATTTTATTTTTAACATTTATATATATAATCTTTTATATTTTTGAAATAGCAAACAACACTTAGAATTTTTTATATTGTTTTAACATTGAATAAAATTACATAGTTCGAATAATATAGATTTTATATATGTATTTAAAATATCTTTTTTACTCCTTTTATTTTGTTTTGGATTTTTCATTGTTTATGCAATAATATTGTTTTTCTTCTTAACATTCTCTTAGTTTTAAGGTAGCTTTCTCTCACTTATTTATTTTCATTTAAAGCATCAGTAATGGTTTGAGGAATTTGTGTATAAAGTAACGATTTCGATACAGAAATTAAGATTAATTAAATTTAATTAATTTATAATAAATATAAAGAAACTAATTTGAGTTGAAAATAATAGGTTGCAAAGATTGTTATCTAACTGCAATGAATAGATTTCTGTTCATTTACAGATAGCAATTAATCAGTTAATAAGTAAAAATATATATATAATATATGTTTTAATGTAATATATTAAAAAAAATGAAAATAAATTATATATAAAAGTAAACACAAAACAAAAAGAAGGATTATTGAAAGCAACAGTCGCCAATAAACAAATGTCATTGATAATTAAAGTAGAAAGTAACTGTCAAGTTGTTTTATGCAAACTTTTAAAACATCTCTGTGTTTGAACATTTTATTCTGTTATAGTTTTCTTTATTTAAATCATTGTCATTTGATAAAATTGCTTTAATCGCTTAGAGATAACATTTATTTCGGTTTTTTAAATATTGACACTTAACCCTAAAGACATATATTGATTTTTTAATATGGCTAAACTGTAATAATTTCATGACTAAATGAAAATAATTGTAAAATGTTTCGGACAATTATTTTTTATTATTATCATTTCCTTTTTAATATATTTTTAAATTATGAACTTTCTTTTAAAGAACTTCTTTATTTATTACTATTAGTTTATTTGAGCTTTTTACAGATATTATGAAATTCATAAAATTATTATTGTTTAATTATTTATTTTATTTTTTATTTGTAAAAAATTCGTTAATATTTTATTAAATGTCCCATTTTAAGTTACTAGAAAAATTAAAATTCATGAAATACTAACAGTAGCAAAATCACATACACTTAATTCTTTTGCAAACAGTTAAAAAATCCTCCTCTTTCAAGAGATTTAAAATTTAAAATCATTTTTAGATTTTATTTCTTCATTTCGTTCATTTCCAGTGCAAGGATTTTTTGCCCATACATCAACAATTGTGTAAAGGACAAATTTTCGTCTTCATGAGTATTGACATTACACTTTGCCATCATTTTCACCACTCAAACTATTTCCGTGCGGCTTCAAGTTATGGTCTTGAATTAATTTGAAATTTTTTTAATATGGTAAGTATTTTAATCTCAACAAGGACATCATTGGTGAAGTGGTGTTAAGCTGCTAATGGTTTGAATCAATTAAATTAGTTATACAAACATAAAAATACGCTAAAAATTATTATCTGAATTCAATTAATGGATTTGTAATAAAATAATCTTATAAAGTAGAGAATTATTTGTGAAATTGTGTAAAAAATTTCAGAAAAGTGAAATAATTTATTATGACAAAATTTTTTTTTATTTTTTAAAATAGATTAAGAATATGAAAACTCAGCTTAGAGAATTGCAAAATTAAGCACAATTTATCATTTATTTATAAACTTTTAGTGATACTGGATATGCAGTAGTTTTATGTTTTCAAGTAAAATTATCTAACAGATATGTTTTCCTAAAATTAGAGAGCGATATTTCTTTGAATAACAGATATATTTCATTCTGATTGGTTATATATGGAAATCTGCACTAAATTATTTAATAATTTTAAATATTTATACGAATTACCAATAGCTGAAAATTTAATTAATATGCGTAAATCTTACAATGTTTCAATATTTATGGACGAGTTTGATTTTTTAAATAAATTATGTAAATTAAATTTTATTTTAAAAACATTTTTTTAATCTTGTATTTATATAAACTGCGAAAAGAAAAAAATATAAAATCAAAATCAATTAATTAAAATAATTTAAAAAATAAATTTTTGTTGTTGTTTCACTTCTGTTCGAAAACCTCTTTATAAAATCAAAATATAAATAAATAAAATTTTATTTACTATTTATTCAATTCTTTAAAAACATTAATAAAAAATATACAAAACTAGTAAAATTAAAATAGTTTAAGCTAAAAATTTATTTAATAAAAGAATAAAAATATTAAATGTTTAAAGTTTTTATTTTTAATTAATTAATATGATGATTTAATAAATAAGTTTTTTATATTAAATTTGATGCCTCGGAATTTCTGTATTTTTAAGTATCATTCAAAAAAAGAAAAATATTTTAAGGGTATTAAAGTTATATATCCTATAATTATCTAATATACATATACATATATAAAATATTAAAATATTATACTAAACATTTATTAATAATTGTTTCTATAAAATTATTATTTAAATATTTATAAAAGAATTCTAAAAAAATCGATGTATGAATTATGCGTTTATCATTATTGTTTTTATTTTTATAAACAGATTTTTATAATAAAACTAATAAATTAAAATTAAAATTATTAATAAAATTTAATTAAAAATATATTTTTTTTAAAAATGTATATAAATTTAATATTATTTAACTTAAGTTGTATACTATTGCCAAGACTAATAAAAAAAAATCGATCAAAAATTTATTAAATTCATTTAACAGAAAAATAATGTATATAATAAAAATTTAAGAAAAAAAATATTTTATGTTTTAATAAAAATAAATAAAGTAAAAATAATTGATTGTAAATTTCACTAATTTTATTTTTAACATCAATGCAATTTATATTAAATATTGCTGTATTATAATATATTATACTTTTATATATTAATTATTAATTCTGATTTTAATTAAAATGATTTTTTTTTCACTTCTCCAAAATATTTATTTCTTATTTAATTTTTGTGAATTTAAAGACCACATATAAAGTAATTAATTTCCTGTAATTTAATCAATTATTTCTTAATTTATTTATAATGGAAAATTACTCTGTAGTACTGAATAATGATATAAGAAATATATAATTTGTTTATTGTTTTTAGAAATATTTTAAGTGAATTAGTACGGATTTTTTTTTTGCTTACAGACTTAATTTAATACACACAATTGTTAATAAAATTATTATAAGAGTTTGCCTTATTTTTCTAAAAGTAAGAGAAAGAGTATTTAAAACTGCAAATTGTTTGCATTAAATTTTATATTATTTTCACTTAATTTCATATATATTTCTCTGCACTTTTGTTGCAGTTATAAAGTAATAGATTTTCATTTCAATATTAAATTTTCTAACCTTATTATATTTCGTTTACAATTCGAAAATATTTTACTCTTAAATTTTTTATAAATATGTTTTCCTTTTATGATATTTGTTAATCCCTTTTTAATATTTTTTATCTTAAACTTACAAAAAAATTTTTCTATCCTTTCCAATTAATTTTAATTTTTATTGAAATTGCAAAGATAAATTTATTTAATTTACTTTTAATATTTAAAAAATTTATTGTTCATCTTCTGGTGGCATTTTGGCCAATGTTAATAAAATCATTGTCAGTTCTTTACGTGAAATCTTGCCATCCTTGTCATAGCCAACACCGCGCAAAATGGTCTCCTCGAATGCGCTTAAATCTTGTGCATCGTAATCATCCTAAGTTCATATTAAATTAATACTTCAACTTAACTTTTAAAATAAGTAAACAAACTTACTTTTTTAACTAATTCCAACAAATCTTTAAGGAAACCTTTTAGTTCTTCATTTTCAATTGTACCACTATTGTCCTGTACAAAAAGAAAAATATATAATCTTAATAATGTATATAATATTTAGTTAATAATATAATAATATGATAGAATTAATGACAAAAAGCAGAATATATATGCGCATTTTTTCATTGTTATTGTAAGAAATTGAATCGGTTTTGTTAAATCCTTTTATATACATTAGAAAAGCTAAAAAAGAGCACACAACAGATTGGTTGCTTTTCATTAGTTTTAAACAGACTTTGGAATGCCTCAATAGAGAAGTAATACCGTATGCGCTTTGTAACAAAACTATTATGAACAAGTACTACTGCAAAGATATTCGTGGAAACACAAAATCTGACGTATTCTTAATTCAAATAGGAATTAAGCAAGTTAATATTCTTTCGAAAGCCATTTACAACTTAATACTACTTAATGAGTTTATCTAGGTGCCAGCTTCATAATCTATACATATAAATTTGTGCAGTTTAGTCAATAAGGGTTGACTCCAGTACTAGTCAGAATTGTGCAAATGGACATAGATATAGATTAAGGTTATTAAGGTTATGTTATATGGTAGAGACATACTATACTAGAAATTAATTTGTCGACAGTGTATTATCCCCAGTTTATATTGTCAAGGGAGGCAAGTGTTTACAGTAATTTCATTATTTTTTTGTAGTTTTAATATAACTAAAAAGTGCTGAATCTTAAGAATGTGTTAAGTTCATCAATGGTATGACATGATATGTTCAACAATATAATGGTTTGTTATGATACCACGATAGAACACGAAAATATACGAAAATATTAAAAATTTTACAGTTTTCTTGCTCTGTCCGGTTCTGTGAACAACTAATCCTTAAGCTTTTATGGTATATTATTTTATATTATTTTTAAATAATCTTAAAACTACAAAAACTCTTTTATGGAATGCAATATAAACTTATATCATATTAAAATTTTATTTTAATTTTATTACGTAGTTTAATGGTTCCCCAGACAATGCAAGCGCACAACTTTAAGTGTCACACAAAACGGTCCTTGTCAGGATATGGAGAATGGACTTATCTTAGCTCACAGTTGGTATTGAAAAACAGAACAAATACATTCTAATATTTTATTACCAATTAAATGACTATAAATTTTGTATTATTACTCGCAAAACTTTTGTTGTACATCAAATTCTCACACCGAAAATATGAATTACAAATGTAAAATGCTGAGCTTTAACAGAAATAAGATACAATACAATTATTTACTTGATGGCAGCAATAATTTACTTCCTACACAAAAATGAGAAAAATGTTTAAATATAGAATTTGTAAGGATACACAATAAAAAAATTTTTATATTTTTTATAGAAAAGGAAATAAAATTGTTTAGGCTGGCAACTTTATTTTACATAACTTTGGCACATTTTTCAAATGTGGCTAAGTAGAAGAAGAAGAACATTTGGAAAGTCGTTAAATTTTTTTTATTTTTATTTTATGTGAATTGTTGCACTGCCCAAGTGGCAAAGTAAGTATTTTAAATAT